CCTAAAAAGGGCAAAGCAAGACGCCCTCTTCGTTAACATTCTTAAGAGAGACGATCTGAGGGACGGTCAATGCGTAGGCCTATAGAACAAACAGTTATTCCTAGCGTTAAATTGTAATGTATGAATAGATTCTCCGGTGGTATGTTTATTCATATGCTTTTGTAAATCTAAACGGATCAGTATTTATTTGTTTAATTAAAAACTGGAATAAATGGTAGCATAGGTAACGCACACACACGAACGCACACTCATGTGTGTTTGGGTGTATGAGTGTGTGTGTGTGTGGGGGGGGGGTTGTGTGTATGGGGGGTGGAGGTGTGTGTACCGTATGTTAGAGCGTATTTCCTTATGCTTGTGTGTGCTTGTGGGTCCATTTTTGCAGACAAAGGAGATATGTTAGTAAGTTCTAAAATAATTTTATCAAAACGTACGTTTATCTTATTTAACAATTGTAGATGTTGGCAGATTGAACACCTTTTCAAGCAAATTACAAAGATTCCCGTGTTTCTGTATTAATGTTGTCTTTATGAACCCATTAAACGGGACATTATAACAATTTACAGAACAAGATAATTAAATAATTTGACTCCCTTTCGCTCTCGCTCTCTCCCCTCCCCCCCCCCCCTCTCTCTCTGTCTCTCTCTCTCTCTCTCTCTCTCTTTCTCTTTTTTTTCTATCTCTCTCTTCCTCCCTCTCTATCTCTATATCTCTTTTAAGGGACATGGTCGAACTCCCGACCTACCCTAGCAGTTATTCTTACACACAGAGCTAGGCCTAAGCTGGAGTGTGATGCTTGAGAATTGAGTTACTACTCACAGGTAGAGAAAGGAAGAATTGGTTATTTGTTTACTTGCATACGTGCGTAAGTGTGTGTGTTTGTTTGTGTGTGTGGGTGTCGGTGTATGTGTGTGTGTGTGTGTGTGTGTTTGTGTGTGTGTGTGTGTGTGTGTGTGTGTGTGAGAGAGAGAGAGAGAGAGAGAGAGAGAGAGAGAATGCGTGTGTGTGTGTGTGTACCAAAGAGAGAGTGTGTGTGTGTGCGTGTGTATGTGTGTGTACGCTCCCTTGTATATATCTATTGCTGCAAAATGTATTTTCTTTACTCCTAATACCCAACTAAACTCCTCCCAGAACCCTTTCCTACACACCTGCAGAGCTTCCCATTCACACAGGGTCCACTTCCTCATTCATTACACGTTAGGCATAAAAGTTCGGTCAGGAGATAAGTACGTATCTCCTTGCGGTCTTAACGTGTACACTCCCTCCCTCCTCCTCCTCCTCCTCTTGCCCCCTCCTCCTCCTCCTCCTACCCCTCCTCCCCCTCCTCCTCCTTATCTCCTACCTCCCTTTCTCTCCTTTCTCCTCCTCTCCCCCACCTCCCTCCTCCTCCTCCTACCCCTCCTCACCCCTCCTCCTCCTCCTCCTTGCCCCCTCCTCCTCCTCCTACCCCTCCTCCCCCTCCTCCTCCTTATCTCCTACCTCCCTTTCCTCTCCTTTCTCCTCCTCTCCCCCACCTCCCTCCTCCTCCTCCTACCCCTCCTCCCCCTCCTCATCCCTCCGCTCCCGCCTTCCCCCTCGCCCCCTCTTCCCCCTCTTCCCCCCACTCCTCCCCCACCCCCGCCCTCCCCACCTCCAGTGCCAATATCTCTACTTCGCTATCGGCTGTTTTATCTCCCGCCCACGAGGTATGGTACTACCGATACCAGGGAAGGACCAGCAGACTAGGCTTAGCCCATAGTTTGCCAATGTATATACATGCATATGCAGATAGACAGATAGATAGATAGATAGAGATAGCCATATCCATATACCTGTGCATATATATATATATATATATATATATATATATATATATATATATATATATATATATATATATATATATATATGAGTATATATATATATATATGTGTGTGTGTGTGTGTGTGTGTGTGTATGTGTGTGTATGTATATATATATATATATATATATATATATATATATATATATATATATATATATATATATATATATGTATATGTGTGTGTGTGTGTGTGTGTGTGTGTGTGTGTAGAAATATATATATATATATATATATATATATATATATATATATATATATATATATATATATATATATGTATGTATGCATGAATGTATGCACATATGAATATAAATATACCTTGTAACAGCAAAGGGAACATTATAGTAAACAAGGAAAGTCCTGCCCAAAATCCCTGGCTCCGGGGCCTCCCCTCTCTCTCATTAGCGAGAAAATGGTTCGTTCGACCCCGGAGGGAGAAAGGTTAAAGGTTGAAAAAAAAAAGAAATGAGGTTAAGGAAATGGTGACCATAAACGGAGGAAAAAAGTGGGCAGAAAGAAAAAGAAAGATTTGGTGAATGTTAAAAAAAAAAAAAAATGTAGATATATATGACAATAATGATCTTCGCAATCTATAAATTAGAATCTGTTTTTATTATTATTACTATTGTTGTTGCGTTTTTGTTAATGTTATTATCATTATTGTTGTGATTATCAATCCTGCTATAGATATCATTGTTACTATATTATTATTATTATTATTTTCATTATCATTATTATTTGTGCCATTGTTATTATCATTATTATTATTATTATTATTATTATTATTATTATTATTATTATTATTATTATTATTATTATCATTATTGTTATTATTATATTTATCATTATCATTATTATTACTATTATTACTATCATTGTTATTGTCATTATTGTTATTATTATTAATATTTTTATTATTGACATCATTATTATTACAACTATTATTCTTGTTGTTATTTTTCATTATCATCGTTATCATTACATTTATTGTTGTTGTTGTTATTATTATCATTACAGTCGTTGCTATGATCATTATTTTCATTATTATTCTTTACTAATGTTATTATCCTTATTATTATTATCATTAATATTATTATTATTATTATCATCATTATTATTATCATTAGCAGGAACAGCATTGCGTTATTATTGTATTCTACCATTAGTGCAGCATATTGCTATTAATAAATGTGCTAGACATCGAAGGTTATAAAACACTATGGTAAAATCCTGTGGCGAGAAAGATGGAAGTGAGTTGATTAAGAAAAGATATTAGAAGCCAAAGGTAGTAGAACGCTGTAGGGAAGAACGGCAGTGAAAAGGGGGTCGAGGGGGAAACAAACAAACGGACTACAGTGGGGATTTATAAAAGGGGATGGGGTTAAGGGTATAGGGTGTTTAGATGTGTGTGTGTGTGTGTGTCTGAGGAAGGGAGGGTGTATGGGGAACACTGCATCACGAAACACTCCTAGGGTAATGCAGGTAGAAAGAGTAGTTGTAGAAGAATGAGATAAGGAAAGGAAAGTCTCGGGTAGAATGTCAGGAGGGGGGGGGATCCGGAAAAGGAGATTGGTGTGACATAAGGGAGTCAGGTGAGCATCCAGGTGGGAGTGGTAAAGATAATAGGGAAGGAAGAGAGAATGGAGAAGATAGAGTTTTTTTTTCCTTTTCTTTCCTTTTTTTTCTTTTTTTTAGAGAGAAAGAGGGGTAGGGGGGACTTGAGGAGGAGGAGGAGGAGGAGGATAGGTATCAGCAAATACCTTGCATGTAGAACGAATAGGAATAAAGGGTGGATGAGGGAGTAGAACACTCTCTTGGGTCACGTTTAAGGAAGGTTTTTTTTTATGTCTTCGAGCGTTTCTGGAGAGGCATTGGGTGAGGAGAACTGAGGAACAAAAATTTTCTTATGTGGAGGAGAAGAAAGAATAGATGTTCGAGGAGCAGAGGGAGAGGTGGGTGAAGGAGAGGCTGTGGCAGGGGAAGATGGGGTTGGAACCTTTAGAGTGAGAAGGAGGAGGGGGAGGGGGGAGGGGGGGAGTCACCGCGGAAGTGGTAGAGGCTGGAGTACCTGACTTCAGATTGGTAAAGGACTTTGACTGGGGGAGAGACCGAGATGAAATAAGATGGTTCGGGGTACAGGGAACAGATACTGGGGGGGGGGGGAGACTTCTAGACAAGGTGGGAAGGGAGCGGAGCGAAGTTCAGTTTTCGAAGAGGTAGAGAGAGAAAAAACCCTCGTCGGCGTGCTTCTTGGAGAGTGAGGCCTAGTTTGAATCTGAGTACTTGCATGTTGTTAATAAGTCTAGTTTTACAGTATTATTATCAATGTCGTTATCATTACCTTTATTATCAGTATCATTATTAGAATTTTCACTGTTGTTATACCTGTTATTATTAATGTTATTATTATTATCATCGTTGTTGTTACTGTTCTCAATATCATGATTATTATAATTACTATAAGTAATTATATCATGATCAGATAGATTGATAGATAGATAAGTAGTTAGCTAGATAGATTAATATGCATACACATATGTATATGTATGTGTGTTCATGCGTGTGTGTGTGCGTGCTTGTGTGTGTGTGCGAGCGTGCGTGTGTCCGTGTGGTTGCATGTGTTTGTGTGTGTATTAGTACTTGCGTGAGTTTGTGTGAATGTATGCGTGATAGTGCGTGCGTGTGTGAGATTGTGCATTTGTGTGTGGACGTGTGTGAATGAGAGTGCGTGCGTGTTTGTGCGTGTGTCTATATGAGTACACACATACACCCTTTTGCATTCGAGGTGCCGTGTCCACCTGGCCGCTGGCAAATAGCAGACGTTACCTTCCTTTTCGTTGTCCTGATCAGCCAGTTGAAGCCTTGATTGAACAAAACTCAAAATCTGGTTTGCTAGATTGCCGGCATATTGGGTTAAAAGTCTGTTACCAATATTTGCCTTATTCCTGTAATCAGCAGTACCAGCCAACGAATGTTTTTTTTTTTTTTTTTTTTTTTCTATTATCATTATTTTAATCGGAAATTTTATTTCATTTTTTCTAGGCTTATATAAACTACTTTATAGACTAATCATTCAGTATATTCGTCATCATTTCAGAAAAGCAAGAACATTTGAAGTAGAAAAAAATATGTCACGTGGATACTCAAAATATATGTCAGTATTCTAGGAAACAAGAGAAATCTAAAACCGATGACATTAATTAACAATTTAGGTAATATATTCATCACAGTACCCTAAATAATATTTCTCTTATATCAATAACTTCTGTCTCGTCTGCCGTTAAAAAAAGTATTATCTCCTGCCTTGCCTCCTGTACCATTTCTTATATATCAAATGCATCACACTAATTCACAAACACCATGTCTTCTATACCATTTCTTATATATCAAATGCATCACACTAATTCACAAACACCATGTCTCTTCTCACGTTAAAAAAGTATTATTGTCTTCTGTACCATTTCTTATATATCAATTGCATCACACTAATTCACAAACACCATGTCTTGTCTCCCGTTAAGCTTTTCCCTTGCAGTCACTCATAACAAACTCTTGATATTCCTCTTTGCCAGGCAAGTTCACAGCTACAAAACGCTCTGTGACACGCTGGCATTCAGCAACATTCACCTGCAATTAGAAGAATAGGGAAAATAGTAGGGATTTGAAAGAAAATAAAAATCAACACCTAGGCATCTTTGGCCTTTAAGTAGGGTCATTCATATTCAGACTTATTTGTAGATATGAACTTTTTTTTGTACTATAATGATTGTCTACTAAGCCTGAAACAATAAACCTAACCATGGAAAAAATAAGTAGAAAGAGAAATATAAATAAATATTAGTAGTTCACTTTACACTCATAAAAAAGCTAGAGTTACCAATGAGACAAAAATACATCAAGATCTTCCCACCTTATGTAGGGCTTCCTTGTTAATGTCACGCGTTAATATCTTCGAGTACACAAGGGACTTCAGAGGCAGCTTAGCCATTGCCTGTAATCTCTGTTGCACTTCTTGCTGAAATGTTGCCTCTGGGAAGACTTCAGTCACTAGGCCTAGCCTGCATGCTTCTGCAGCTGAAAACTGTCACGATAAAATTAATCAATAATAAGGCAAACATATTTTCTCCATCTTTACAACCGTTAGATAGAATATTAGCTTTTGATTTTTAACCATTACTGATCATTTACTTATGTATATCAACTGTCAATCTTTAAAGAGAAGTGTGTGTGTATGTTGTGTATATATATATATATATATATATATATATATATATATATATATAGAGAGAGAGAGAGAGAGAGAGAGAGAGAGAGAGAGAGAGAGAGAGAGAGAGAGAGAGAGAGAAAGATGGATAGAGAGAAAGATGGATAGATAGATAGATAGATAAATAGATAGATAGATAGATTCTTCTACAGAACTTCCACTTCTCTTCTTTACCTTTCTGTTAAACAACAACATTTCTGTAGCTTGTCCTGGACCCATAAGCTTTGGGAAGGTGTAAGTAGAGCAGCCTTCCGCAGTGATGCCCAGCGCGGAGAAGGGGGTGAAAAAGACAGCCTGCGGAAATTAATGCAATTTTGACCTTTTAAAACAGAAGCTACGAGTTGATTGTTGCAATTCCAGCCACCAGAGCATTTGTAACTATTGTCTACTACCTTATTGTAGAACTCGGCAGGGTCTAACAGAAAGTTGAAACATTTGTGATTTCTGAACTTGCTACGACTTAGGCAAGCGTGAATACCGTAGTATATCAAAATATTAATATTCAAATATGCAAATCTATAACTATGCGTACATTTTTTTTCTTACTTATATTTTTTTTTTCTTTTTTTCCTTTTTTTGCAAAAAGAAAGTATTGAAATAAAAAAAAAATAATCCTTCAAAAGGAAATTCCGGATGAACACCGTACTCTCCAATTACTTTTTCCTTGGCATAAACAACATCGTAAAGTGGCAGCAGGGTAGTGCCTGCGCCGACAGCTGCTCCATTGACCAGGGCCACGAGAGGTTTCGGAAAATCGATAAAGGCTCCGATGAATCTGAAATTTACAATAATCGTCATTTCTGTCTCCTGGATTGCATTCCATTTAAAATGTCTCCATATATATACACTGAGGTTTTTTCTTCATACAGTCTCGCGCAGTACAATATTACGTGTATGAATACCTGATGAGGATGTCCCTCGTCTGAGCCATGGTCAAAGTGCGGAAGTTAGTCTGATCGTTCCCTGCCGTGAACACATTTCCAGAACCTGTTGTCGCTGTGATAATGGTATTGGGATCGTCAGCAGCTTCTTGCAAGGCATCAACAATTTCATCAAACATCTGTATGGATATAACATAAAGCATGGTTTGAAATACTTAATCCGCTGATTTTCCCATTCACTGAATCATACTATTTGATCAAGTTTTGCTTAGTTCATTCCAATGAAAATTATTCCCGCTTAGGTATTACTAGGGGTATAATATTCCTAATCTAAAAAATAGATGGGTATGATGTTTACTCCTTCCCTGCCCAAGATCACAACGGCCAGACGGGCAGCATATCGGTCCTCTCCCATTTTACTGTTCTTCCTAAAATCTCTCACATAGAATACCTCAACAATCCTTCTACTCAACACCCAGGACTCGAGAAGAACCCCCAAGCAAGAGACAATCGCAGTCCAGACTCAGTTCTGTCCTCGAGAGCGCGTGATGGGAGCTAGATTTAGACTCAGTGAGTGTTACAGCTTTAAAAGGGAGACGCGGCATCGGATACTTTTTCATCAGTGTGATTTGGAACAAGGCAAGGCTGTAAGTAATTACTTGATTAGGTTTGGGAAAGAAGTGAACCATTACGAATGCCCGGGATGTAAGCTTAGCCTCTTTCAGTAGGTTTACACACTACTGAGGAAGCCGATGGTAGTTTTCAGTGACGAGAAAGACGGTCCTATCAAACCAGAGACTTCATAGACATTGGCAGCTAATGAGACTGGCAACGTCGCTGCACAGACAGCTGACAAATGACAGCCCATACTCCCTATTGTGAACTCAACCCCTAAACAAGATTTTCTGACAGACTAGAACAGCCATCAGCCACAGTTGCTAAAAAAAAAGGGATAGGAAAACAGCCATGCGTATATATCAGACACTAAGAAAAGAATGAAATAAACAACAACCTTTTCATTTAGAGCATTCTTCTTCTCAGGCCTATTGAAGGTGATAGTCCTGACGCCTTCGTGAAGAGTGACGAGAAGGTGTTCGTAGCGAGAGCTGTCTGCCGCGGGGACTCCGGGAGGGGCGCTGGACATTGATCTGGTCGAGCGCTGCCAAAAAACGTGGCTATCCGTATCCATAATCTTGGATTTCAATTCCCAGCTGTACAAGGGGAGCGAACTTGCCGAAGTCTGGGCATAGTGTACCCTCCTGGAATGGATTAGATACTTAGTATTTTGAGGAACACTTTAATTACAAAAAGTGTACGGTATGTACAGTAATTTCGTGAAGAGTGACGAGAAGGTGTTCGTAGCGAGAGCTGTCTGCCGCGGGGACTCCGGAGGGCGCTGGACATTGATCTGGTCGAGCGCTGCCAAAAAACGTGGCTATCCGTATCCATAATCTTGGATTTCAATTCCCAGCTGTACAAGGGGAGCGAACTTGCCGAAGTCTGGGCATAGTGTACCCTCCTGGAATGGATTAGATACTTAGTATTTTGAGGAACACTTTAATTACAAAAAGTGTACGGTATGTACAGTAATGATGTTTCCAAAGTACAAGGAGGCTGGTACACATTGCAATCTTGCGTGGTGTACTCTCCTGAAATGGATTAGGCGTAGTACTTTAAGGAAAACTTTAACAGTGATGTACCGTAATTATGAACGTGTTTAGAATACAAGGATTCTGGCAATATGAATGTTGATCTTGCAACTGGAACTGAATCATGTAGCCCATTACCTGCCAGCCAGCATCCAACTTGTTTTTGTTTTTTTGTTGTATTTTCCGTAATAGGCAGTGATCTTTAAAAAATATATAAAACTTAATGCTGAACTCAAGAAAGATTGAAATACTTTAAACTGTATATTCTGAATACTAGAAAGTACTTTCATTTGGATTAAAAATTATGAACAAATTACAAAGTGGCAATAACGTCTCTGGCACATACATATATACATTTACATGCATGTGTGTATATGTGTGTGTGTGGGTGTGGGTGTGTGTGTGTGTGTGTGTGTGTGTGTGTGTGGGTGGGTGGGTGGGTGGGTGGGTGGGTGGGTGGGTGTGTGTGTGTGTGTGTGTGTGTGTGTGTGTGTGGGTGTGTGCGTGCGTGTTTATGTATGCGTGTATGTATGTATTTATTTATATTTATGAGAAAAGTCTCAGTGACGTCATCCGTACCTAAATGACCTATACTTCTGTCCCCTCTGTTTTGAATTTCCTTGGACACCCAGTCGTCAGATCATTTCGTATTCCCCTCTACAATTTCTATATAAACCAAAAAGACATCCCGGGTGACAAATTCTATTCATTTCCTGCATCTGTAACCAGCAACGTTGTACAGAAGTTACGTAGATTCGCGCAATATGGTTTCCCTTTGATTTCGTCTCCGGTGACCGCGCTGCCCCCAAACGCCGTCGACTGAAACTACATTACCCACAAAGCCGCATGGGGTATGATTAGTATGTCGACCGGGCAATAGTCGTGAATCTCTTCCGTTTCCTAATCCTCGACTATTCGTATTGAAATAAACCATCTATTTTTTTTAGCGAGGAAGTAGTAGAGATTGCCGGTAATTTATGTTGGTCGACAAAGCTATTTACAAGACTGGCGTGTATTTGCGTTGTGGTTTTCGACGTAGCATGCTTTCTTGTACCTGGCATAATAGCCCAGGAACGATTAGATAAAAGCTAAAACTGGGCACGAATGTTGAAATGTGTGACTTGAACAGCATATCAAGCAACTATATATTTATTTTTAGCCAGAATCGGGATGTATGAAAAAGCATCAGAGTTATATAAATGAATTTTGTCGGACATATATTTCGTGAACATATTTATAATACAGTTTCTGTAATATTTACATAAAACAGCAACGGAAACGTCAAAGAAAAAAATCGCGTGTGTGCGTGCGTGCGTGTACAATCATAGATATAGATTTAGGTAAATAGAAAGATAGATTGATGAAATTATAGATATGTATATTTGTATGCGTATGTGCATATTTGTGTGTGTGTGTGCATATATGTATATATATATATATATATATATATATATATATATATATATATATATATATATATATATATACATATATATATATATATATATATATATATATATATATATATATATATATATATATATATATGCAGAAAGATATTCACAATTTCACTAATAAAAATAATGTTTATAAAACAATATTGTTCAATAATTTAGCGGAATGTTCGGGATCGGGCTTTATAAATATAATGTGACAGAGAGAAATCTAATGTCATGTGTAAATGTTAAAGTAATTTTCAAACATAACTATAGAACATTGTCAAGCGAGTACCGTTATCGCGGTGTCACTGACATAAGACACATTACCTTGGTGTGTACGTTATTCGTCGTAGTGAAGAGATCACAAATTCACTCCAATTATGAATATAATCAGGAATTAAAGCTCGGATATTACGAACACAGACTCGAGACATAACTAAGCTAAATATTCATTATACCCCACGAAATATACTGAAATTTACCGAAGAAACGAAGATAAGCGGCTTAATGCTGACATCACTGTATCTCGAGAACAACTGTCAAAACGGTTCTCACTTTCCAATGAGGAAGCATGAAATGTATCCAAAATATCACGTTTAACCATTAAAATGTGTCCCGTGAACTTTGCGACGAATCTAGAAAGTTTCCCTTTAAATTAAATGAACAAACATCTCATGACAGTTTTGCTTAATTTAGATGCTTCACGATAATATATCCACTGACTCTTATCTGTCGTCAGTGTTTGTCTGTGGTCCATATCTGACCCCAATAACCTCGGAAACAGCTGATTACACTTTTGTTTGTTTTTGTTTTTGTTTTTTTTTGTTTTTTTTTGTTTTGTTTTGTTTGAGAGATAGCGGTACTACATAATATGGATTTTCATGGGAAAGTGCTAACCTGGCTAATTGATCAACCCGGTCACATAATGATATTCCTATATGTGAGAGGGTATCCAGTATAGTGACACCTGAATTTCCTGTTCTTGTTTAGAATTTGGTGAAGGATATTTCTAGCTGCCATGTTTTCTGGATTCAATGCAGTGAGCCTATGGAGAGCGCCTTGGCTGTCAGTAAAGACAGCCAGGTGTCGCTTCTGCAACACTAACTTTCTTAATGGCATGATATATGGTTACTATATATGGTTGTGCTTCTTCAGTTGGAAATACACGCACATTCTCCAATATCGATATCAGGAATTAGTACACCATTCCCCGCTGCTCCGTGAGGATTAATGGAGGCATCGAATTAGATTGCAAGTGGGGGCGTACAATGAAGGGGGGTGTGGAATGCCATCAATATATTTCAAGTAATGAGCTTTTAGTTCCTCTTCCGAAGCCATGGATTTAGGCCCTACTAGTTTATCAATATAAGCATGTAGTTCTGTGCCAAGGAGCAGTAAGTACTGTTTCTGGAATGTTAATAGCTTCGTTGTTCCATGCATTGAAGAACATAATAGTATGAGCAGTTTTAGTTTTCCATTCTGAATTGGACTGTATGAGATTGGAGTATCGAGGCCGGACATGCTTAATTTATCTCATTTGATAGAATATTGGAGATTCGTGCTCTGGGTAGAAGCTGCAGGAGTCTGATGCCAAGTATGGTGTTAATTTGGGCGACATGACTGTGAATAGAGGGGAGGTCTAACTCTTTCCTCATGACGAGAACTTTAGCGGTCACTGGGCATCTAAGTATAATTCTCATGGCCTTGTTCTGTAAAACTTCATGGGGTTTGAGGGCACTTTGTGGCAGTATACTAAGAACTGGGCTTGCATAGTCTATCATGGACCTAGCAAGGGAGATATACACCAGCCTTAGGACTCTCAGGGAGGCACCTATCTGTTACTTACATATTGCAATGGTCTTAAACGTTCAAGGCAACGTTCCTTGATGTTTTGAGCAATATTCTTGGTAAAACGAGAGTTGTGGGACACAAGGTGGGGATTAGTCATCATAACATAAATAAGATATTTATAGGTGTCAGTTCCACCTAACCTTGGAATGTAGGGTAGTTTACGAGATCTGGAAATATACTTAGTTTTGATTGGGTTGATTATGAGACCAAGGGAAGCACAGTTTTTGCTGAGCCTCTGTAGAACTAATCCCCCCTATCAAATACCTGACTAAGAATGTCATCAGCATAGTATGTGATGCTGCGTGTTTTCTAACTCATCTTTGAGCTTGCAAAGAGAGTGCATAAATATATTAAGCAGAGTAAGGGACAACGCCCCCCCTTGTGGAGTGCCTAATCTAATTCGCCATAAGAAATGTAGGCGATATGGTACCACACTTTTGCTCTTCTCAAAGATAGATAATCCTTTATCCATAGGAGAAGTTTGCCCTTAACACCTAAAAGAGTTAGTTCATGGAGGATTGCAGTAGGGGAGGCTCTGTAGAATGCTCTTTTAAAATCTATGAAGTAAGAATATTTCCACTTAGGTACTGTGCTAGACACATTTGTGTTCCTCTCCCTTTTTGAAAGCTAAAGACAGATGGATGAATCAGGTCTTTGATCTGATGAAGAAAACGAGTAGGGAGGATTATTTCACAGGTTTTAGAAAGGCAGGACGTTAGAGTAATTGGTCTATATTCATCAGGCCATCCTGGGAATGATGGTTGCCTGTTTCCAAGAGGTAGGCAAGATGCCTGTCATGTAGGTTAAGTTGAAGAGATCAAGAAGAGGATATTTTCCCTGTACCTTTGCAAGAAGTCGGATGCTGTCGTAAGTAATTCCATCATCGTCAGGTGCAGTGGATTTGCTAGTCTTAGTGGCTGCAAGGAGATCATCCCTTGTAAATGGTGCATCAGCCTCATCTAAGAGGTGGCAATGCTTAGTTTAGAGGAGCACCTACGTATAGATAATGAGACTATCAAGGGAATTTATTAAGGAGAGATGAGGCTACCCTTTCTGGATGTAGGTGGGGTGTTATACTACATTTATTGCCTTTAATCTTGCTGATTTCCTTCCATACATTACTCATGGGTGTCATGGAGTCAGTTGATTCTGCCCAGGCATTAAATCTTTCCTCCCGTTTTCGATTTATCACTGACCTTTTTACTA